CCTGGATAGGTTTGCCAGGTCCTCGGCGGGCAGCTCCCCACTTTCCAGCCACTGCAGGTCCACGACATTCTCCGGGTTGTGCGTTACCTTTAAATCACACTCTAGCATCAGTGAGAGGACCGTGGGAGATTGAGCGTGAGGGATATTCACCTCTTGGATGTGGGAAGCGATGGCAGCTTTGGTGTTGAAATCCAGAGTCTGGATGCGTTCGATGTAATCTTCCTTTTTCTCACACTGGAGACAGAAGCAATTGTTTTATTTTGTTCACAAGCAATCTTGCTTGCTTTTATGTGCGTTATGACATTATTTGAAAAAAATAAATAAATAATAAAAAATCTACCAGACACCTCCTGTAGAATTAAATTAGTGACTGTGGAACAGAATATGACCTTGACTACATCGCATCAATCTCTGATCGTGACTCATGTGGTTACTGTCATGTGAAAAAAGAGAATTAGCGGGCTTATGCTACCATTCATTGATGGCTTTGATGTGTGAAAAACACCTCTTTTGAGGGACAGAGACAGTGCCGGCCTGCGAAAAGCAGAATCCATGCATAATTGATGCCCATTAAAATGGATTGGAGGGGAAAAAAATTTAAAAAATGGGGGCAAGGCACCAAACTCTCCAAGATATAAAAAAAATATACACATTGGAAAAAAATCAGCATGTTCTGAATTGCAGTCGCCAGTACATAACACTGTGTGAATGAGTCTAATTCTTTCCATGAGGTTTTTGTGGCTTTTTACACTATGCCGTAAAGTTAAGACGGGGTGCTTTATTGTTTTTAGTGGTTAACTATGTCATTTACATTGTTAGCCTTGCAACATAATTTCCGAAGTCCTTTTCAAACTACTGTTACCAAATCAATTTAAAAAATACAAAAAACACCAATCTGCCTGTTCAAAGTTTTTACGTGTTTAACAAAACCATTTCAATATAACTGATTTTATTTAAGCTAACAACTTGAAGGACCTTTTTTTTTTTCTTTTCACAACGGTGACAGCTTGTGTGGAACAGATTTCAGTGCATTGAAGTCAAGAGATGGGTCTTTACCTGAACAGCACAGCCCAGAAGCAGTAGCAGTAGTTTCTTCATCTCCTCCAGACCTCGCTCTTAAGGACAGAAATAGGGAAATCTTCCGTGAGGAACAAAGCTGCTAATCCTCATGTGTCACATGTTTGTGTTCCAATGAACCCTCCTATTACTGTTTATATTATTTTTCAGGAAAAGAAATATTGTCTCTGGGTTGATTTGACCCAGGGCACGATTGCTGGATCCAAACGTGCAAGAAATATACTGTACTGAAAGACTACTTTGGAATGTCGTAAAATACTTCGTTTTAAATGTAGTTTAATTGGTTCGATCTGAACAGGTCTCTTCGGAGTGCCGGTCCACCCATCAAATTGAAATTAAACACTGAAGAGGGTAACTACGATGTCCTTTTTGAGGATGTTTTCCTCAATGAAAAGACAAAATTAACTTGCAAACTCGTCAGCTTGCTGTACAGGCCACAACTCATCTGCTGGATTTTAACCAGGTGTTGAGAGTCTGTATGTGTGTGTGTATCACAGTGAATAAGCGCAAGGTATCGTGACTCCACTGCTGTTGTGGGTGTAGAGTCGTGACACGGTGATTTATGTGAACGTGCAACGCACAAGGGGCAGACGATGAAGAAGGTTATTAACCTCTGACTTTACCCTTTTGAACATGAGAAAGAAGACAGGAACAAAAGAGGCAATGCAGTGCTTGCTTTGGAAAGCCTCACCAAGTCCAATTAAAGGCGTGTGAAAGGTCACAAATTCATTAGGTAACAGACTCGCTCAGGCCACTACATTTGGTACACTGCACCGACGCATGCTCAGTCCAGGGTGGACCTCCACCAAGGTAAAAAAAATTGGGGTGAATGCTTTTATTTTTCTGTGGGTGTACCAAATGGATGTAATGTCATTACAGGGTTTTTCCATGCTGTGACAATGAGGCGCTCTAAAGTGGCCACTCCTGCCCAAAGCCCTGGTCCACAAATTGGCAGTCAAGCCGGACTCCAACACCCTAAAAAAACCTCTTCCGCCTTCTCTCCATGAAAAGCACACACTTGTGGCAAACAACGAAGAGCTCTAACACAGCCATGCCAGTGCGAGGCTCCAGTCCGCAAGTAAATATAAACAATTTTTCATCCTCCATTAGTTGTTGATTAATCGTTGCATCTCAACAGGATATTCAAAGAGCATTCACAAAATGTTCAGTGGTCGAATTGAATGTCATCTGCTTGAGCAAGTGTACCTAATTTAGTGTCCCCATGAGTGTTAAGTAGAAACGATGAGTTGATGTCTGACAAAAGTCAGCTTAGCGGGAACTTCTATTAGCACCGCCGCTTCGAGACGGGGGAGCGGATTTAGCGCGGCAACAAGGTAGGCGAAGATAAGCAGCCCCTGTGTGGACAAATAACAGCGAGAGAGAAGTGAAGGAGCAAGCAGGCGCTGCAGGAGGGAGAGATGAAAGGCAGCGAGACAAAGCAAGCAGCAAACTGGGATGAGGGGACAGACAGACGGGTGAAAATAAACTGGAAGCACGTCCATTCTCCATTTATCCATCATCCCTCCTTCCTTCCTATGAATCATCTCTCGCTTCCTCTCCTCTCCTCCCTTCACTATCGTCAAGGACACTGACTCACCCGGTCTTTCAATGCGTAGCGATTATGACAACTCGCTCGTGAGCTATCGCTGTAAACGCCTCGTGTGACGAGATGAATACAGTCACTCAGGATTGCATGACTTGCATGTTTGGGCTAAAACACACACGCGCACACACACACACAGATGTTGCTTTGCCAGGAAATCATTCAGTGAGCATCATTGCAGCAAAGGGGTGAAAACTGTACATGGAAGCTTTGGGAGTATTTCAGCAACTAGTGAAGATATTGCCTCGGGATTTCTTGGATGTTTAATGGTCAAGCTGTTTCCTTAAAAGAGACATCGATGCGTTTTTCACAACTAGAACAGTTCCCAGGCATGTTAATAACATGTCTGTGACATGCTAACGATCAAGAATTCCCGTGCAATGTACACCTTGTTCTTCAATCCTCCTGAAACTTAGCGGGGGGAGGAGCTAGGCGGTAGAAATAGGCAGCTAACTAAATATTTACTCCGTTGTTTAATTTCACAGCTGATTGAGCAATTCAAATATTTTTTAAAATCATATATCATTTTTAAGTATTCAATTCCACGCATGAGTCCACACAGGCTTTGGTTCCAGCTTCTGTCAGCGATCCAGTTTTTTTTTTTGGCAAGGGTGCATTTGTCATTCACTATGTCCCTTTTTTTTATACTAAATGAGCATATTGACACAAACATCAAATAGTTCTACAACCCCACAGCGTCCGGTTCATAACAAGGATTAGTTTGGAGGTTGGTCCAAAACAAAAACACCATTGACACCAAAAACATGAGACTGTTGACTTTTAAGAGGACACAAAGGAGGTACTGTGCATGCCGGTTGACATTTGCATGCCAGCACGCCTATCAAAACGACGCGCACAAGCTCAGCACGGGCTTTCGTGGGAGCTTTTGGGTGGCGTTGACAAGTTCCCACTTTTGGGGGAGGCATAGCTCCTCCCCTTAAGTCAAGTTGGCCCCCCACCATCACCAACGAGAGCATAATAAAAGCCACATGTTGAATGAGTTTCAGTTGGCAGCCGCCGGGCCAAAATGTGTGCGTGCTCCCAGAGGCTTGTTGACTTGACTGAAAAAAAAAACTAAATGCAGAATTTGGCCTAAATATTTCTGTCTGCTTTGGTCCACGTGCTCCAAGCAACCCCCCGGCTAACTGTCTGTTCTTTTAAAATAATATGCTTGACAGAATATTACTCAGTAATTGTGTGTGTAGCAAAAAAAAAAAAAAAAAAAATTCCAAGAAAAAATTTAACCCTGGATTAAAACAATGGGCCGCAGTTAAGAGGAGAGTGCAGAGAACAGCAAAAGGTACGCCAACATTAGCATGTTGGGCACACAGGCAGGCTAACGTTAGCATTGTTGTTATTTCTCGATGTGTCTCCTCAACAATGACGCGACCGTGGTTCAGGCCATATCAGCGAATTAGTAGTAGCGATGGCTACCCGTGAATACTTTAATTTCCAACGTCAACCTCTTTCCATTGCGCAGGACACACAGTATTCCGCCAATAAGCCAGTTATCCTTCGGCGCAGACGTTCGCGGCCGCCTATTATTGTTCATTTATTTATCCTCGGCGGCTGCGCGTTGAAATTAAACTGGCGGGTGCAGAAAGGCGATGAAAGAGCTGACGTGATAGCAAAGGCAGCGGTGAAAGAGAGATAAAGGCAGCCGAGTGAGGAAGCGCAGTCGTTTGCAGTTAGCTTGAAGAAAACATGTTAGGGAAAAATGTGTTCATAATTTATAGACGTGCCCATCAAGTGAGACGTTAAGTAATCTACAGTAAATGGATTGATGAAATCCTTTTTGAAGGAGCGGCAATGATTTGCGAATGTTCGTTATTTTGGCAGCGGTCATTCTCTGTCCTCGATGAATATTCAAATTCACGGGGTTACAAAAGCAAATGAATTTTTTTAAAAATAAGTAGTGGACATTAAGAACACAGTTTTTTACCGGCCACCCCCGCCGCTCGTTATCGTCCCTCTTCACGGTTACACCCCAATATCAAGTAGCAGATTTGGGTCAACGGCGGAGGTCAAACCGATCACTATCGCGCCAGCGTGAAATTTAAACACGTTAAGACGGCAGAGCTTTGAGACATATCCAATGTCGTTCTCCGGGTTCAGTGGGTCAAAGCTACAAAAATGTTTTACTTTCTGCAGAGCAGTTTCCTTTGTCATCATATATGAAGCAGGCAGCTTAATTGCTGAAGGATTTAAGGGGGAGCACAGCTCCAAAAAAAAAAAAAAAAAAAAGACATCTCAGAGGCTGAGGGGGAAACTCATTTGAAACATCAAAGCGCCATAAAAATGAAAGCTCCTTTATCGGCGCATTGTACTGATGCGGTGAGAGAGAGAAGCCGCATCGAAATTGCTCGTGACCGCTGAGTGAACTCCGAGTCTCCGAAAATTCTCTCGCCATCTTCTTGTGCCTTCATCCGAAATGAAGCGGTGTCATATGGGGAAGGCTTACCGGTGAGAGGGCTCCGGCCCAGGACCAACACATCGGGTAGAGGCATCATCACCAGCTGCTGGAGCGTCTCCTGTTACCGAAGAAAAATATGTTGTCAGCGCTATTGTTCGTAATACGCGGATTAAAGAAATGTGGGTTGAAAGCAGATTGGCAAAAATATCGGGATAGTTAGACAAGACAAACGCGACAGGATAATCCATTAGAAATATCCAGCAATCACACAATTGCGGATTTCGATCAGCAGTGTGTTAAAAAAAAAAAAGGCTTACTTAAGTCAGTTGGTATGTGTACAGTATGAATATCATCACCAACCCAAACCATTGTGAGTTTAAAGCCTAAGGCATGCGAAGCTCATATATGGGGTTGATAGACAGCTGAATTAACAGCATCCACCCCCTGCAGTGTGAATAGTGTATTAGTGAAATTCATATGCCTGAAATTGCCAGTGTGGATTTTCTCCCACAGTCGCCCCCCATTCACATGTCAATCAAGTCAAATCCAAGGAAGCCCATTAGATTACACACACACACACACACACACACACACACACACACACACACACACACACACACGATTACGATATTGTCCGGTTTACCCGTCACATCCTTCCAAACCAAACACATGTGGGTCAGAACCTTCCTTTTGTCCATTCAAGGCAGTTGGAAGGGGGGTTAATCCCAGGTCAGGACAATTCAAACAGGAAATGGGTGGGAACATGCGACAAGGAGTAGGGAGTGCGGGGGGGCTACTTCCTGCCGGACACACAACCGCTCGTATCTCGAAAAAGTCATGCCTCCTGGGTATGTCCAAATAACCTCTTCACGTGTTGAAATAGGAAAAAAGCAAACATTTTGTCTGAATGTATTTTTTTTTTCAGTCAAATTATGTCAAAGCATAACATTTGGCGCAAAGTAGCGGTGAAACGGGTGTTGCTCAGAAACGCTCAAAGTATCAACAACAGTTCAAAAGGCTCTCTGTACAATAGCCTATTAAATTACCTCGAAAAAAAAATGAAATGGCATAAAAATGACATTGTTTCCCAGTGATGGTCTTTGGTCACCCAAGTGGGTTTTGTTTGGGCCACCTATACAGTACGATGAGTGTTCACTTCCTACCATTGAAATACATTGGCGGCATTTGCAAAAAAAAAAAAAGAAAAAAAAAACCCACACTTCACTCCATTACCGCCTAAAACAATTCCTGCCCTTAGGATTTGGACACAGGGAGTGAAATAAAACAAAAACAACAAAAAGCAGTTGATTGCATAAGAAGTGGAACTCTGTGCCCCAATTACATTCAAGCGACAGATGGACGACGACTATCTGGCATGAGAACGGAGCGGTCCTGCACTCTTTTCAGCATCTTGGCAACCTGTGAATTATTCTATGGCCAGAACTGAACTCCATGACCACAGAGTGCAAAAAGTGGATGTGTTTATGGGGGAAAAAAAAAAATTAAATCGATGAAATCCATGTACAATATAGTCACATGGGCTGTACTAGTAGTAGTAGAGGCTAAAACTGTTTTACGGTGTTCACAGGGTTTCGTACCTGTAGGCGCGTTGCAGTTTTAGCCTCCGGGTTCAACAAGTCGCCCGGCAACTGCACTTGGCATTGGCGCGGCAGTAGAGGTGACGAGGTGTACAGCGGCTCATTTGCATGAGACAGGATCACCACCTCAAAACGGATGGATTTCCAGCAGAGTCCTAAGTGCTCTATAATTCTTGATCCTTGGGTTATTTTGGCGAAATGTTCTAGTCGCTAGACTGTTCTTGCCAGAGAAAAAGCCTTTAATACTTAAAAAAAACAAACTGTGCTTACATGATCTTCCCAAACATTTTTTTTCAAAGGTCTAAGAGCCATGAGTGATGCAATAAATAAAACTCAAATCTGACGAAGCTGTGTAACATACAGAAGTGAATCTGTATTCAAGCCGATACCTTCGTGGCTGACCAGATCCTTGCGCAACAAAGCATTCCAATTTTACTTTGACATTTCTTTGAATGAAAAACATCACTGTTCGGAACTTATGGCTGCTTTTCAAAGACCATCTGCATTCATGTTGTCTACACAGCTATGCTAGAGAGAAAATGCTGAGTCAGAGCTCAGAAGAGTTTTTTTGGGTTTGCCAACCATCACCTGTCAGCAGTCCCACCTGTCCACTTCATTGGCAGCACGTGCTTGCTGTGAGAGTGGTGCATTTGTAGCCCCTCGGATCCCGCACGCCACCCAAATTGAGTTGCGGACACTCATACGACGATAGCATAAAACCTTTGATGTCATGAGTATAGTGCAACCTCTTGTGATCAGATGCGTTCTGCTAAATGTCAGGGCCAATTCCAGGGACTTTTATCCAGGACTTTACTCAAATGAGACTCACTCGGACTCATCCAAGCATCTTTGACAGAAGGGCGATATTATTACCAAGCTTTGTGATTGACATAATTTAATGTGGGAATATTTGCCAAAGTTTAAAATAGTTTCGTTTTATCTCACATTCAATCATCAGCGAACACAACACACCGATTTATTTTCCATTACGTAGCCTACCTAAGTGCTAGGTGCACAAAGTGCATTTTCTGTTTCAAATGGATCTCTCCAAGTACTTAAGGAATACAGCAAACTTGTGTGCCGACGAAATGTCTCGTACATCTCCTGATGCAGCAGCTTCACAACTCGTCCGGTGCACTCGCAACGTGAAAGGCAGGAAGGAATAAAACGCTTTGAGGATTAGCAGCGGGCTAATACGACAGCTAAAACACAACTGCCTAATATTCCTCTCGGATTATGTGGGGCGCGGGTTTAGCGGCTCTCATGCATAAAACATGGACACTGCGGGAGGAAGAAAGCGAGAGAGAGAGAGAAGTGAGGGCGTCGTGGCGATGCGCTGCTAATACCAAGAAGGCAAGCACGTGTGCACACACACCTTCCTTCTTCATGCCGCAGTGTCACTCACTTCCTTCTCATGGGCTGTGTTTGCAATATTTAACTCATTTCCTCCTCTCTAATCCTGACATAGAAATATTTTCATATCCTGACTGTATTGTTCACGAGTCAAATGAAAAATACTTTTGAAATGTCACCACTGTGGCATGATTACAATGTGCCAGATCAACGTCACTTGGCGGACCTAAAAATAATTTTTAAAAAAGCAACAAAAAAATTTTAAATAAAAAAATTAATAAAATCATGTCATGCCAATATGTGTTGTGACGTGTTGCTCAATTTATATTCTGGACATTTTCGCGCCATGTTTCTTGCTACCCTAATAGGGCTATGCACTGTTGCTGACACGGCTGTTGTTGTGCCCATTGTTCTCTCGTGCCATCACAAAGCCTGCCCCCCCCAACCCCCATCTACATTGTGTAGTGCTCGCTTGTGTTATAGCACTGCATGAGGAGTTGGATTCTTGACCTGCTCAACATGTAAAATGCTTTGAGGCTACTTTTGTTATGAATTAGCAGTATTTACATATTGACTTAACTGTTTTAAAAAATAAAACAAATAAAATCAAACAATACCCTGGAAATGAATTACTTTCTAGTGCCCATCGATTGTCGACTACTTTTAAGGAGGCATTGCGCGAATACATTAAGGGCACGACTGTCTATAAGGAGGGAATACGAGCTACAAAGTTTAACAGCAGTAAAAAATAAATAAAAAAAAAGGCTAACCACTATATAGGACACCATATACACACACGTGTAGTTGATATAAAGTGATGGCGTCTATTAAACACAGGGGAGGGAGCCGCAAAGACAAACAGAGGGGAGAGAAGGAAGGGGAGGGGGGAGGATGAAGTCTTGATTCCATCACGACCCACTCTGGCACAACCCATCCTCTTCCCCCATCTTCCACATTTCCTCCCCCTCCATGCCGACTATATAAATTTCCGTGTTATTGATTCCAGCAAGGCTTCACAGCACGTCCACTGTGGCTCATCTTCCATCCCTCCGAGACGTTTAGACATATTGACGGCGAGGCGTGTTGGCTCAAGGGGGTACGGACTGTATCACAACACAATAGAGCTGACTGGTTGGCTTGATTTACGGTTGGTGTAATAGCTAAGAATAAATAACGCTGCGAGCCAATCAAATATATGGTCAGGCATCATCTTGTCCGACAGCCTTTCGAGCGGGGAATCTATTTATGTGTGAGGATGCAGGGAGACTCTTTTGTCTCTGCAGACAAAAAAAAAAAAATACAGTCCCGAACAGTCGAAAAGGGAATCCCCTTGGTGCGTGTGGTATCGTCATGTGTGAACGTTTTTCCAAAAAATATGAACAGAATTCCAGATGGCTCATTTACTGCAATCATTTTTCATCAATCTGATTGTGGTAGGCTGTTTGTCATTTCATTGATTTCTGCATTATAAGTCATGACAATAGCTTCAGAAAACCACCGAAACCTCAAAGGACTGTCAAAATAATGAAGAAATGTGCCATGACATGATCCCATTAGCTGGCATAGGCAACTATGAGCAAGCAATTTAGCATCTTCAGATTGAGGCTTATATTGGCAAATTCCCCTGCAGACATTTGTCCAAGTACAAGCCTTTGAATTCATCTGTAACGACCCACTTCAAGATGTCTTCCAACTTTCACGGCACGCTTGGCAATTTAGCATCTATGGAGGATACCGGCTCCTGATCGGGGCTCATCTGGGTCAATTCCCTTTACTGGGTACTTCAAGCTAAAATGGCTGACTTCCTGGTTATTACCAGGCATGGGTCCTTTACACTTTTTCATGTGCCCCGACACAAGAGACCCAATTTACCTCAATTTGGTAAAATGGTGCTGGGGGACTAAGTTTTTGGGGCGTCTTATTTGGAACCCCTAATAAAAAAAAAATACAATCCTGTGCGTTTCAATTGAATGTGCGCATGTTTGGATGCCTGTGCTATTAAATGTGTGTCGATGGACAGGTTCTCCACTGTTTCCGTCTGACAGAGAGCCCCTGTCTGGCCTTACGCAAATACTGAGCCTACCCGCCCTCCCACCTTTCCGCCCACTTCCGCTAACGGCGTATAGCTTTAACAGGGGGGCTAATTGTGCCACTACACGTGTGTGCG